TGCCAAGCAAGAGATTGACTATTATATAATACGCTTATTGATGCTCTTGATTTCCCAGAGGGAGTTTCTAGATGACAAACAAATAACAATGGTGGCTAATCATGGTAACTTCAAGGCGTGCCCCTTCCCAGGGTCCTGCCTGTAATCCAATCTCAAGATGCTGGAAGGGCCATCACACCTTTTCTAATCTCTTATTTCAGGGCTTTGATCTGCAATTTTCTCCATTCCAGTTACCATTCCACTTGACCCACATTTTAAAAATTGAGGTCTACTTCAATTTTACTTCATCAACCTTGACTGAACCAGTTTGCACCTATTTGAAGCCCACTTTGAAAGACAGAAATCACACCTGATTAGATCCACAAATCCCCAGCGTTTCCTCTGTTTGTCCTCAGTAGTTCATGCAGCACAAAAGGGACAGAATCTCAGGAGAAAGCAGCTGTCCTGTGCAAAGGAATCAGAGGTTGGAGTTCAGGGCTACCAACTGGCTGTAAATTAAGGACAAGACCCTAAAATGGAGGAGTCACAGAAAAGCCCCAGAGTTGGTATAAACTTCCCTCAAATCCTTGGTTAACAGAACTTGTGCAGGAAAGACTATAAGAAGCCTAAAGGAAAATAACACGAGAGCAATAAGCAAAGAATGCTCAACAACTGGAGAAATGGGCAAAGATTTCAGTAACTGCTGTGCTCTAAGAACTTGTTTTTCATTCCAAACTTTTCCAACCCAGAAAAATCTGATTTTAAACACTTTCCTCTTTCCACTGAAGCCATTCTTCAAAGTAAAAGCTCTAATTGAATTCTAGACTTTTCTTAAAGTTATAATAATTTAAAAGTAAGCTATATTGGCACACGAGCTTAAAACATATCAGAGGAAAGTATAGAGCAGAAATGTAAAGGTAAGTAAAAAAATATTGCTACAAAAGAAATCTTTTTTAAACAAAAACCCAAAATGCGAAGTTCCTGTTGTTCGACCACCTCCATGTAGGTCTACACGCTTGTGAGGGTGTTTTGAGCTCTCTACTCTTTTCTCAAAGAATTCTGTGCTTTTCAGCTTACACTACATCAAAAGAGTAGTCTGGGCATCCTCAGAGAACTCAAATCATGTTCCATTTCAATGTTCTCTGAGGTTTAGACAGGCAAGATCAGAGATGTAAGGCCGATAGAATAAGGTTTCTCAATGAAATTCTCATAGGACAACCGCTCGCAAAGAATGAGTAGGTGCGTTGTTGTTATGGGAAAATTCCTCAGCACAACTTTCCTGGCCTTTCCCTCATCAATATAATTTTCAATTTTCTTAAAACTTCTTCCCTGAGGCTCATTTATCCTTCAAGAAAATCTACCAAGATTTCCCCTTTGGGGTCCTAAACACAGTTGCCACACCTCCTCTGTTCTGAATGGAACTCCAACAGATCCCTTTTAAAATCAATGTTTTGATTGGACCTTTCCCTCTGGATTGTATGGGTATACCCAAGGTTTATCCCCAGTTCCAATTCCTTCCTTAATCATCTTCATTATCTTCGATTCTGCTTAAAAGACTGATGGAAAGGTCATCTCTTTGAGCTAGCTGATTTTGTACTTTCACCAGTAATAGGAGAATTAGGGTTATCCTACCTTCTTTCCTACCGTTGATGTTATCAGCATTTTCTTTTTGATCATTCTGGAGACTGTATGGTGCTATATCTTCAGTTGCAAATAAGATTTGTGACCAACGATGCTGAGAATTTTTTCAAGTAATGCTTGCTGGTGTTAAAATGTTTGCTTCAATTTGAAAATACTGAACTTGTAAGATCCCAACGTCAATAGCTATCACATTAATGGCAATCTATAGTCTTCTTCCATATAGACTTCAGTCACAATTCTGATTCATTGAGCCTGATGGTTGTCCTTCTCTTGCTTCATCTTCTGGTCTTCCGAAATCTTCTCAAAATGCAGCATTCCTGTAAACTTGCTGCAAAGTTTCAATAATTTGAGAAGATGTCTACTTGAGTTTTGTCAAAAACTGACATTAATCCTGACCTTAAAATAGATTTCTATGGGATCAGAACTATTTCTTTGGATAAAGCATTCTAATGAGATTAAGACAAGTGTACTACTGAAAGAACTTTTAGAGTCATGCACTGATCACAGACATGTTAACACATACTTTACTTGGAATAAACTTATGTATACATAAACAGAACCCTAAAAGCAGTACTTTTGACTCACTGTCATAAACTGAAATATACTGAAATAATTTTCAACAAGATCAACAAAAAATTCATTTCAACAAACTATGCTTCAACATATTGATGACTACATGGAAGAAGATAAAACCCTCTCCTCATACACAAAACTTAAAACAAAATGGTTCACAGAACTAATCATAGAAGGAAAAAACAAACAAACATATATATATATAAAATAGAGGGATCTTCAAAACCTAAGAGCAGGCAAATCTTGTTTGAAAGAAAAAATTGTAAATTGGATTTCATCCAAGTTAATAACCTGTGCTCAGCTATTAAAATGAATAGGGAACACAAAGACAAGGGGAAATATTTGAAATGCGTATATTGGGCAAAATTGCTTCTATATGGAATATGTAAAGAATTTCTAACATCCAAGAAAAAATGTACACTGTACAAGCGAAATGGATGAAACTATTTGGATACCTCCAAAGAATAAAAAGCACTTGAAAAAATTCTCAGCATCAATGGTCATAAATCTTAATTGCAACTGAAGATATAGCACCATACAGTCTTCAGAATGATCAAAAAGAAAATGCTGATAACATCAACGGTAGGAAAGAAGGTAGGATAACCATAATTCTCCTATTACTGGTGAAAGTACAAAATAGTATTAATAATTTTCTTTTGTTCTAGTTTATTTTGGTGCTGTCGTTGAGCATATACATGGCAAAACATGCACCAATTGAACAGTCTCCAAATGTACCCTTTAATAATACCGATTGTATAATTTGAGTTACGCAACCATTCTACACTCCTCTCTGTTTCTCCTGCTCCATTAACATAAACTCACTGGTTCCTAATGCTCTTATTGAATTTTTACTTGAATCCCATAGGAGCATAATACTTAAGGCTGACATGGCAGTTTCTAAAAACACCTAAGCATACACCTGCCCTATGAACCAGCGATACCATCAGTAGGTGTTTACTGTGGGGAAATAAAAGTATATGCCCATATAGCAGTCCTGCCTCCTCAGCCCCAAACCTGGAATCAACCCAAATGTCCATCAAGACAAGATATACACACCACTTGTATATTTATACAACAGAATATTATTCAACAAAGTTAACTGTACATAAAAAATATGAATTTCTCAGACACTAACATGAGTTAAAGCAATGTGAAGCCTGAAATAGAGAAAATTAAAATACATTGTTATAAATCACAACTGTGTGCATCCTAGAGTGAGGAACTAACGAAAAGGGCTTGATGAAACTTCACGAGTCATCCTTCATTGGGGTTTATATTTTTTAGGACTCCAAGAACTTTACACTTAAGATCTCTAGGCATTTAAACTATACTCCAACGCATTTAGTGGGGAAGTAACAACAGCCAAGATATCTATAAGTAAAAGACAAACAAGGAGAGAACTTACATATGAATAGCGATACTCAAAACTAAAATTTAGATTTTAGAGGCAGGGAAATCAGCCATAGATAGTCACTTTAAAGCTCTCATGCCCTTTGTTCAACATCTTATGTATAACAAGGTCAAGAATGGGAATTCCAGAGCACAAATGTACTTGTGCAGAAGCTACGCATGGAGGAAGTTGTGTGAACAGGACAAGGGGATATTGTGTTGTTTACAATTAGGATGTGCACCAGGGTTCTATCCTTTCACGATACTCCTTCCATCTATATGCTGAGCAAATAATACAAGAAGCAGGATAATATGAAGAAAAATGTTGTATCGGGATTGAGGGCTCATAACAACCTGAAAGATGCAGATGACACAATCTCACTAGCTGAAAGCAAAGAGAACTTGAACAAGTTGATGAAGATCAAGGACTACAGCCTTCAGTATGGATTACACCTCGATTTAAAGAAGACAAAAATCCTGATCACTTGAGGAGCATCATGATCAACAGAAAAGATTCACGTTGACAAGGACTTGATTTTACTTGGATCCATAATTCACACTTACGAGAGCAGCAGTCAAGAACGCAAATGACACATTGCACTGGGCCAACGTGTTTCACAAAACTTATTTAAAGGGTTAAAGAACAGAGATGTCACTTTGAGTACTAAGTTGAACTTAACCAAGTCACAGTATTTTCAATCACTTCACCTGCATGCAAAAACAGGACGATGAATAGAGAAGGCTGAAGAAACACTGACTACTTTGAACTACGGTGTTGGCAAAGAGCAGTAAATATAGTAGGTTTTCCAAAAGCACTAACAAGATGTTCCTTAGAAGCAAGGATGGCAAGACTCTGCCTCATGTATTTCGGACAAGTTATTAGGAGAGACCATTTCTTGGAGAAGACCACCATGCTTGGTAAAGAAGCAGGTTAATGAAAAAGAGGAAGACTGTCAACTAAATCAGCACACTGGCTGCAACAATGGGTTCAAACAGGAAATCTGTGAGGATGGCAAAGCACCAGGCAGTGTTTCATTCTGTGTACTGAGGGTCACTGAGTCAGAACCTAAGACCTGTCTTCAACAAAGGGTTTTAATAACAAAGTGAAGAGATTGGGAGCTACATATAAAGGCTTAATATCCAAAATATATAAAGACCTCTAACAAACGAACAACAGAAAGATAACCCAATCAAAATTGAGCAAAGGACTTGAATAGATATTTCACTAAAGAAGATACAGAAACGCTAACAACACTCAGTATCATTAGCCATTCGGGAGACGTAAGGCAAAACTACAATGAGATATTACTTCTTTTAGGATTATTAAGATTTTAAAAAGTAAAAAACGTTTCCTAAAAACACTTTGAAATGTCAGATTGAGATTTAATGTCGAATGGATTCCATCTAGTCAGACTCACCTAGGTAGATGCAACTTGGATAATCTCTTTCTGTGGTCCATAGCTCTTCTCCTTGTTCTAACTTGCGAACCATGTCGGGTTTAGTCATGTGAAACCCTGATAATGAAAAATGAGACTTGGTCTAAGCTGCTTGGGCTTCAGAGCTATTGAAGGAAGAGAAAGATACAACTTCAGGGTGGCAAATGAAGCATACATTTACATCTTAACAAAGTTAATATCTTGCAATAAGCATAATCATATTTTCTGCTAACAAGAAGGATTCACCACCTCCGAGCCCTGAAATTCAAAGTTCCATATGTTTCAAGAATTCTTGAAAGAGAATAATATCAAAACATTCTAATTTTCCTTACCCACAGAAATGAGGTGACAATAGTTTTCCAGCATCACATCCCTGTAGAGGGCCTTCTGAGCAGAGTCCAGTTGCAGCCACTCCTCCTGGGTGAAGTCCACGGTCACATCCTTGAATGACACTGATCCCTGTAAGGAAACACTGAAGTTCATCCTAGCGTGATTGGAACTAGGTGAAAACTAGATACTGGTGACTTAGTTCAGACCATAAAAGGAGCCCGGAGGCACAGTAGTTAAAACTACTTGGCTGTTAACCAAAAGGTCTGTGATTTGAAGCCCTTAGCCAGTCCACAGGGGAAAGATGTAGCAGTCTGCTTCCGTGAAGATGCCCTGGCAACTCTATGGGGCAGTTCTACTCTGTCCAGCTCAACCGTAACATTAAGGTCATGGGTAATTCTGAACATGTTAACTGGTCAAAACTCGGTTTCTTGTTTTATGTGTTATAGAAAAATGACTGAAAATTTATTCTTTTGTTATTATCTCATGCTAAAAATATGAGGGGTGCCCTAAAAACCAGAATTTTTTTCAAAGCTGTGTATTTAATTAAAAAAAATAATTTTATTGGGGGCTTATACATCTCTATCACAATCCATACATTGTGTCAAGCACATTTGTACATTTGTTGCCATCATTTTCAAAACATTTTCTTTCTACTTGAGCCCTTGGTATCAGCTCCTCACTTTTTCTCTCCCTCCTCCACTCTTCCTCCTTTATAAATTATTAATTTTTTTGTTTTTTACAAAATAACCTTATCACCTTCAAAGTACTCTCCTTTACACTTAATACATTTGTCAAATCTGTGATTCCATTCCTGGAAACGTTTTTGAAACTTATCTGTTTAAATGGCTAGCAGCACCTCCCTCATTTTTTTCTTTGCCTCTTCTATGGCATTAAAACGCTGTCCTTTAATGTCCCTCTTCATTCATGGACACAAAAAGAAGTCACATAAAGCAAGGTCAGATGAGTAAAGTGCAAGGGACAAGAGAGGCATGCTGTTTTTTTGCCAAAAACTGGCTCACTGAGATGGCTGCAAGAGCGGGTGCATTGTTGTGGTGGCAGACAGTCACCCATCTGCCACAAATCAGGCCTTTTTTGTCACACAGTTACACTATCTTTTCAGAACCTCTAACTAGAAAGCTTAATTAACAGTCTGACCTGGTGGAACAAACTCCAAACATACTACAGGTTTACATTTTCATCCACTAGGGAAGTTGGTGGATATCCAGAATGAGGTTTGTCATCAATCAACATTTCACTTTTCTGAAATGAGAAAACTACTCATACACTTAAGTTTTTCCCATAGTGCTGTCCTGGTAAGTTGTGTTCAGAGAACATCACAACAGTATTTGAAGCATTTTTCTGTGGGACACAGAAAGATTTCTCCCAAATATATGTTAGACTTAGGACACTGCTTGCAGCTAATGGTAAATGATTGTCAAGTTACCTCCCTCAAGGCAGTCAACTGCCAGACTATTGTCTGATCCCACCACAAGTTGGGCCCACTCCCTGCTGTTAAGGACAATGGGCTACTTCTCCCTAAAGGCTTGTGACTATTAGTCTGGTCCCTGTAGGGTGGGTTTACACCCTACTGATAATGGTTTCTATAGTGAGCCAGAGAACAGGTCAAAACCGGGTCAGTGACATCCAAAGTTAGGCTGCCATCCTGAATCTAGGATCCACCCATCTTGTCACATGTGTACCCCCATCACCTCCCCTTCCTATTATGTGGATACCCCTAGATCACACCCCTCCCATTGCTGTATTACCTGTAGCACAACCCTTTTCTGTGGCGTATGTATTCACCTGTAATTAGGGGGCTTGCACGTCCCCAGAGAATATAAAAGCCTTGGTTAGCAATAAATCTCTCTTCATATGGACCAAGTGAGGCTGAGGTGAGCATGCTGCCATAAAATATGTCTGACTCCATTATTTCAATCTCTCTTCTCTCTCTCATGCTATGACTTTATATCTTCTCTCTCTCATGCTATGACTTTATAATCTTTACTTATTATCGCTGTACAATTGCCTCTACCGGACCTGTGATGATGTGTTAGGGGCTGGTAACCCTGACATTTTTCCCAAGCAGGAAACAAAATTTCACAGTTGCATGCTGTTCTCTTAAATTGGCCATCACAAAATCGGAAGTTCTATCATACTTTTACGAAAAAGTTCACTGTGACCAGAGAACCTTCCCAGGTGATGCCACTGAGTGCACTAACTTAGAGCAAGTTGCTCAATGTTCACTCACTGGGAAAAATGTGTACTATGAAAGTTCTGCACTGCTCAGCACAATTCCAGGTGGGTTTTTTGGGGGTACCCCGCCTCGTACTCCTTTGGACTTGTGAAGGCTGAAACACCTGGTAAGCAGCAGCAGATGCCTGCTATCTCAAGCTTATGGAATTGGCAGTTGGACTTTGGTTCGGTTGCTTTGAGGGTGCCTATTGAGCAGTGGCTCGGGACTATTATATATCTACTATTTTAATTACCTGCTTGCTTTCTGATATGTATTAATTTGATAGGCATGGTTCTGCCTTTGTGAATGAGTGTTATTGAAAGTTTTGCCCTTCACCAAACCCCATTGTTTGTGTAAATAATGTCACTTAATTTAATCTGTACAAGTCAACAATTCATGGATTGAGAAGCCAGCCTATACTTGTATAATTTCCTGTTCTCAACAGTGCTTTAAACTCTATTATCATTGGCTAAATTAATGCTCTTATCAAGAGTATTATTGCCCCAGAGGATGATTTATAATGTTCACTATCATTAAATGTTATTGATATCTCTAAAGTGAACCAGAGACATATATAAACCATAAATATATGAATGAATTTTGGGCTCCCACTTAATTCTACCTCCAATCTAAGAATAACTGATTCTTATGATATGGTCCAGCCGCATTTCTGGGGGAAGACCGACACCATTGATGAATGACATACCCAATCGACAGATTAGCCTTGGATCCAGCTAGCATGTATACTTGGCGAGGGTTAAAGAGTATCTGGCTCAAGAGAAACTGTGAACAGGAACAGTCTTACCATAAATAAGAGAATCTATAAGAGAATCAAAGTGCAACCTGGGAGACCGCCCTGAGAGTACTGCCTTAAATTTTCCAAATAAGGTTACTTGTTTTCCTCACCCCAGCCAACCTGGACTAAAAACGAGTTTCATGAAAAGAAGTCCAATATCCAGAATAAATAGGGAAGCAAATGTTCGCACACCCTTAACAGGGGGGCAGACGTGGGATGGGGGTGGGGGTGTTGCTGTTTCAGAAAGGAGAAAGGAAACATCTCACCTGAGACATGGCTTTGAGTTTTGAAAGAGATGATGTTCTCTTTTGAGCTCTGGGAAGAGTCCTGGAAAGGCAGAGATGGAGGATGTAAGGAATCGTACTTGGGGTGAATATCTCCCAGAATAACTCGGGCAAATTTGCATTAATTTTCGCCACTTAGGCAAGGTGTACTCTCTGTATCCCACACATGGACAAACTCTTCTCCTTCCCCAAAGTCAGAAACCCATCTTCGGAATGGATTCTGGGTAACCTGTTGTAACCTGGAGATAGGGGACATTGCATTTTGCCCTTGTAGCTCAACCTTCCAACTCCTATACAGCACAGGTTTGTTACATCTTCAAATCATTTTTCAAACACTTTTTACCAATTCACAGTTAGATGTGAATACCCGGACTCCCAACATTCTGAGGAATTTAGTTGACAATAATTTCTAATCTCAAAAAAAAAAAAATAAAATAAAATAACTTCTAATCTCTGCTTATGGTCTGTATTATAAACCTGATTTATATTTCTTATGATGAATGAAAATAATGTTCTAAGGAATTTAAAGGAATTTGTTTCCTTATAGAATGCCTATTTTTCTAGTGAGTTTAAAATTACAAATAAGAAAATTTAAATGTAAAGTTCAGTTTGCAAATAAGAAAAAATGTTTTCTTAGTTTCTCATATGAAAAAAGTATTTTGCCTTTTGAACATTTTCTCTCCTATATGTTTGATGTTTAATCACATTTGTACAATCCCAATTTCTTCAATGGATATGAAATGCCATCTTTATCATACTACATTCCATTATATATTGGAACTATGTGGATTATTTCTCTAGTTCATTTCCTCTGACTTCCTTTTATCATATTACTTAATAAGCACAGTTAAAATTAGAAAATTAGCTATTATTTATCATTACTTTATCAATAGTTAATATAAGCATAAGATACTTAACAATATTTTTAGTAGTACAGGTAGCAGAAATAGGAAAGAAACTGACCAAGTATTCTACCCTTTCCATTTTGCATGTAACAATCTAGACAGAGAAGATCTTTTGATAAATGAAGTCTTGAGTTTTGAGTCCATAGGACAGAGTAGAACTGCTTGGTAGGATTTCTGAGACATTAAATCTTTACAGGATCAGCCAGCCTCCTCTTTCTCCAATGAAGTGGCTGAAGGGTATGAACCACAAACCTTTCAGTTACAGCCGAATGCTGATGCACTGTATCCCCGGGGCCTCTTTAACTTCCACAGTAAATATTTTAACAAGCAAAATAGCTACCTCAATTTCTAAAAGGTGGCTGGCCTGGTGATTCTACACGTTCCAAGTACTTTGTTATTAGTTGATTCTGCTGGAAGAAGCTGGTTATGGAGTTCAGCCAGGAGTGTTGAAAGCAGTAGTTATGGGTAAAATCTGTCTTGCTCTTTTCCTTCATGCTAGCTGGAATTGACTCTGTGACAATAGCTTTGGTTTGGTTACTACACTCATGGAGGGTTATTTCTTTCAGCACGTATGGTGTTTACTTCCTATGGTGTACCCAACCATCTGGAACCTAGGAAAATCTTACCTTTCTTTCCAATACTTAGATTTCTATATTTGCGAAATTGCTACTGAGTCATACCTCTGGGGGTCAACTTAACAGCCAATACTCGGCTAATTAAATCTCACATATCTAGTTGGGCAGGATCATACCAAAAGTTTCTCAGTCGTTCATCCATCCAGTGGGTCAACATGGTCACAAAGCTATCATATGTAACCGTAGGTTTACTGACACCTCTACCGTTCCATTCACTCAAACATACCTCACAAAATCACAATACCACAGTCCCACAAGCCACTCACACACTAAGACAGCACATTACACAAGTGCATGGAAAGTCACAAGATCACTTCACAAGTCACTCAGGGGTGTCCCCAAAGTCTCAAACACTACTCACATCTAATCTAAACGCAGATACACGCGCAAGAAAACCCACAAAGCAGTAAGATTGTGCCCATTTTCACAAACAGTTGGCCACAAGAAGACATAAAGAACCAGCAGGCATCCAAACCAAATCGGACAGACACACACCGTTAAACACACAGACACACACACTCGCACGTGCGCGCCGCCTGACACACCGCCTGTGGTGTATGCGCCAGATAACTTGCCCCTCGTGTACACAGAGCTCAGTCCCCGTGCTCCCTCCGAGTCGCGCCACGCCCCCTTGTGTACCACGCCCACCCGCGCCACGCCCACGGACCACACCCGAAGTCCGGGTTCGCACGGGTCTGGGTGCTCGAACCCCGCGGCGCCAGCTCCCGTTCTAACAGCCACCGGGCACGGCCTGGGCTCTCGGCGTCCTCGGAGGCCGCCTCGCGCGGCTCTCGCTGCCCCGGCCGGCCCTCTGGGGCCTGCGCTCCCGTCCCCTCCGCGGCCTTCTCTCTCAGGGCCCCGCGAGCACCGGCCTCCCCCAGCCGAGGCCAGGGCCTGCGCCTGCGCACTCGCGCGCGCGGCCCCGGGCGAAGCGGCGCGGCCCCGGCTTCCGGTGCGCTTGCGCGGGTCCGCGCCGGGCTTTTCCGGCCGTGGTCCTGTTTCTCGCCGTTCCCGACGGCGAGCACCCGCTAACCTGGTGGACGTTGGTTGTGGAGATAGGCGTGGTGAGTTCAGGTGACTCGGTCGGGTGCCTTGGAGCGTCTGGGGGGCGTGTCCGCCGGAGCATCTCCGATCCAGCTTGTGAATGGGACTTCTCGCCGGGCCGCGGTCGGCGGAGGCTTGAGGTTTATCACCCTGCGACTGTAACGGAGCGTTCTTGTGACCAAATGTGACTGAGGGCTGTCCCCGCCCCAACACACACACACACACACACACACACACACACACACACACACA